AAACAAAAAAAGTAGTAAATATTGTGCTCTATCTAAATTAAATTTTCACATGCATTGCACACAAGAATGAGACGAAAAAAACATAACATTTTTAGCATCATCCTTCAAGAGCTGCTTTTAGTATTAATGATCAAAAATCGACGAACATCAATTACTCTTTTGAGAACGCAGACATCAAAAAATTTATTTTTGTTTAAAACAATTCAATTGCTTGTATTTTACTGATTAAAGATTACATAGTAAACGGGTTTGCAAGTTACTCCCCCCCCCTAAAAGTAGGTATTATTTGTCAACATTTTATATAGAACTTCTTTAAAAAAAAAAAGGAAATGCAAAAATTGAGCAAAAGTCGGAGTCAAGTTTCTGGTATTGATGAATTAAACATTAAAGAAACTATATTATGCATTTAAAAAACATGTTTTCGCAAAGAATATACAGGACCTTACAGATGAAAATTTAAATAACATTCTTTTCTACATTGAATTTTTAGTATTATCAATATTTTACTATTATATTATTTTAAACATGATGATGTATATATATATAATAACGGTGTAACCACACCGTTATTTTTTAGTTAATTAGTAGTCAAAGCAGCATGATGAACGAGTCCATGCTGTGCATAATCTTTTTATTTAGCAGCGATGGTGAAAGCATGCATCTTAGCCTCCTCCCGCTGGAGATGGGGGGAGACCCATGTCCCGTCTAAGCAGACGGATTTTATTTAAGCATGATAAACAACAAAAAGCCACGCAAAAACTAGTGCTCTGCGTTTTATAGGATGATTAAACAGTGTAAAAAAGTCCAGTCATATGCTTTTTCTGTATTCTTACGCCTCATCAAATTTATTTATTACTCAAAGCAAATCGTTTAATCTTTCCTTATATGGAAGTGAAAGATCTTAAAATAACTTCTCTTTTGAAGTATAAATCTAATTATTATTCATTGGCATGTTTTTAGCCTTGAAGTCCCAAAATAGAATTTCTACCCTTATCCTTTACTAAAGATATTTTATGAATAGGAATGAAGTTTTAATGCTTTTATTAATACAAAAGTATTTAATTTTTGTATTACATATATATAATATACAGTCAAACCCCGCTATAGTGAACCTTCAAGGGACCGAAATTTCGGTTCACTATAACCGGGAGTTCACTATACCCGGTCCGCAAACAATTTCGACCAATGGCTCCGAACTCCTTCTTATTACACATTATTTAAATAAATGACCAATAAAATGAATTACAAAAATGACTGAAAAATAGTACGTAGTAAAAAAAATTTCTCTCTCTATATATATCTATATCTATTTATATATATATATAGATAATTACCGGATTAAAAATATAAGGATTAGAGTAGCAATAACTGTTAAAAAAAGGCGATAAAAAGAAGGAAAAAAATTCTGATTTGAAATAAAATTGAAAATTGTCAAAAATTAAGTGCACGTTTAAATAGATTCGAGTGTCGTATAAATACATATTAAAAAATATGGATTCTCAAAACCATGTGGAAATACGTAGTGCCCAAGAATCCAATAGAAAAATTGCTTTAATTTTCGATAAAAATTGTCACAAATAAAGCTCATTAGTAAAGCTTAAAGTAATTCAATATATCGCGCGTTATTATAATATCGTATTAAAAAGATGAGGATTATAAGAAACGTGAGGAAATCCTTGGAACCTCCAAAAACACGATTAAAAAGTCACCATGATTAACTATATGAAATAAGCGCAAATAAAGAGCTTCAAAAGAGATAAATAAAATTCGAAATCCACGCATCATAATTTTGTCGTATTAAAAATATTATGATTTTTAAAACTTTGGAAATTCGTAGCGATAACCACCGAGAAAAGAGATTGAAAAAGTGATTTAAATTCATTTAGATTTAACGCGTCAAAAAACTTAATTCAAAATTTCTGTTTTCTTTCTTTTTTTTTTGTTACTATTTTCTAAAAAAAATATTTTTTATTATTATTATTTTCAGGTGCTGCACCCTAATCATACAATGCATTATTTATGGATCATGCGGGGTGTTATTTACTCCGCAAGATGTAAATAATTGTGACGAAGCTACTTGACGATTGAAAAAGTTTTTCTAGTTCGCCAACCGAATTTATTGAAAAATTGCTATTTATTGTTTAATTGTTAATAAATTGGCTAATTTATTGTTTTGTTTTATAAATAAATGTTTATTTATTATTAATCTGAGGTGTCTTTCACAAAAAGTTGCGCTGGATCAAAAGTAATGAAATAAATGATAATTTTAAGTTCGAATGTTCGATCGAATACTTTAATCTTATATAATATTAGCTGTAAAAATAGAAGATAGGATTCAGGAGTATAGCGCTTTTTAGCATCTTTCTAATGCTAAATTATATCGTTTTGCTATCTGGTTAGATTTTAAAAAAAAAAAAAAAATTGCTATCTTCCCCCTTTTCTTCCCGCTTGCTTATTGAAAAATAAAAGTTTAAATACATTGTTTCTTCTTTAAGTAAAATGTTGAAGTTTACTTATTACTCTGGCAACGAAATTACCCTACAAACTGTATAGCATTGCATCCTTCATTGCCACGACAGTGCCGATGACACCCTTCTCTGATAATTTACGATCTGCAGGTACAGATGATGGTCACCTATAGAAACTAAGGCTTGTTGAATTTCTTTTAGCAAACCCTTCAGGGGAATCAAGCAAACCCTTTGGGGGGAATCAAGAAAACCCTTTGGGGGAAGAATACTAGTTTTCAGTAATTTCACCTCTGGCAATGTTCTAAGTAAAATTAATTTTGTGAAGAAAAGCAACTTTCTGCTTTTTAAAAAAAAAAAAAAAAAAAAGGAAAATTTCTGCATTTCTTCAGTTAAATAATAATTTTATAACTTTTCAAAGTACATTATTTATTTAAACGTTTTATAACAATTTTGTTTTCTTTTCTTTTATCAGTATATGATTTGCTTAAAATGCCCCAATTTTAGTAAAAATAATTTCAAAAACATACAATTATTGCCCTCCTAATCAGTATAAAATAATGTGAACTTGTTAGAGTAGTATTGCATTTTTTTTATTAAATCTTAGTTTTTTTTCTTCCATCTATGGTGTTTTCTTTTACTTTTTATGATTTAAAATAGTTACAATTAAAATTAAAATCATTAGTTAATTATTTTTTATTATTATCAGCGAGATTCCTTAAAACAAACTTTAAAAAAATAATATATTTTGACATTTCATTTCTTTAATGTTGATTTTCAGATTTCAAGATTTTGTGTGTTTCTAACTTTAAATTTAGTTTCCTTTTTTATAAATTTCTCGATAGAAAGCTTAAAATTATGTCAAATTTGAACAAAATTGAAACTTATAACTTTGTTCGTTACCCCTCCTCCCGGTAAATAGGAATCTTAAATATATTATTTTTATTTAAAAAATAAAATTTCAAAATACTTACTGTTCGACATTGAAAATCGAAATTAGGTTTTTTACGTTAGAAAAAAAGAGACTAAAATTTGAAAGAAAAAAAAAAGAGCATTAAAGAGTTTAATCTTATAAATTTGGAAAGCGAAAATAATAATAAGAATTTTTTTTTTTTTGGACAGAATATTTCCTATGTGTGCTATTCTTTAAGGTGGTGTAATACAATTTGAATTTAAGTTGTAAGGTTTTTCAACAATGGCAATTGAATATTGTTTTTCTTAGGGGGGGGGGGACTAAAATTTTAAAGTCACAGTGAACACTATAAAACTATACAGAAAAAAGCTACATCGCAAAACATATATTTTTTGGACCGACATATTTTCTAGGAGTGTAAGTTTCGAAAATGTATCATACCTTTTATTTTTGTGCATTAATTTTCAAAAATGACAGTGCTATGTAGAGATTTTTATAGAGGTAAAAGTAAAATGGCTAAATTTTAATGCTACAAGAGACACTTCAGATATTAATTTCAGATATTTACACTTCGAAACTAATACTTCATAAACATAAAAAATTTATACTAGTGTCAATCTTTAACCAAGATATATCGCACCATTTTAAAACTTAGCACTTCTTGAAAAGATATAAGTTGTTAAGTATTTTTTGGGATGCAAATTTTTGAAATGTAATTCTAGAGTGCCTGTTGTTACGTTACAATTTTCGTTTTTACAATTTTCAAAAGTACATTTTTGTGTCTGATTCCGTATCTTAAGATATTGTCTGCTCTAATTAATTTGCATATTTGAAGCATTTTTTTCAACTTCTCGAATCATGAAGAATGAATCATAGTACGTGAAGATCCAGTCATTAGATCGAAAGTTATTCAGGGCGGTCGTTTTTTTTAGCGCTCTGTACATTTTAAATTACTTTTATTCACTAACATTCACTGAAAACATTTAAAGAAAAAAAGGGTGACTTTCCTCAAAAAATACACAAGTGAAATGAAATCTAAAGAGGTAACTCAAACTAAATTGCTATTTATGAAAAACTTTAAAAAGAAGTAAATTTGTATAATGCAACAAGTGTCACAGCATGAGTGTCACACTAAATGGGATTAAATATATAAAAGTTTTTTTTTTTAATGGAATCATAGTAATTGTTATATATGTTTAACCATCAGTGTTACTGCAGAAATCCAAAAATTCTTGAACAAATTTGTGTAACTCATAAGATGATTTCAAGCAAAGGAATCACTTAGAACAACTATTTATTAAAATTATTTCATTAAAATAATGACTAGAAAATAACTTTAATTGTGAGATATAAAATTTTTACATTCATTTAAACATTGTTATTTTAACAACATAATCGAAAATATGACCAAATTTGGCGTTTAACAGACTTAGCTCTTTTTGGAAATTAATAATTTGCATTTACATTGTTTAAGAATTTTTCAATTGATATCTGTAAGAAATTTATATCTTATGATTATTAGAAGCTTTTTAAGGATAGCATGTATTTCAGAAATAATATTTGTGTAGTTTAAATGAGATAGCTCTTTAATTTTTAATGCTAAAACAGATAATAAATAATTCAATGCAACAACTCAAATTTTTATTTCAACATATTTTATAAAAACTATGAATCAAGATGTGAATAAATTATGTAACTATAAAATAAATAATAAGTCAAGTTAATGGCTTGTGATTAACTACATTTTTGAGAGATGATATCAACATACAATAAAAAAGGTCATAAAAATAAATCAGTTTGGGAGAAATGAGACAAAAGTTTGTATCAAATTTGAGTAAAACAGTTAACAAATCAAAATAAACAAAAATCTAGGAACATTATTTATGATTTTTTTTATTTAGAAACTCATCAGATGAAAGACAACACATTTACCTTCCTAAAATTTCAAACATGGACAACATGACATGAACTTATGAATTTCAGATAAATAAGTCTGATTAAGATGATTAAACCCTGACGTCCCATGACAGAATAAAAATATTATTTGAATCTTCAGGAAGGTAATATGAGTGACAATATAGGTTTAAGCAGAAGTTATTGATTGCTGACTGCATTATATGAATACATTATTAATGTATTATGTGTATGTACGTATGTATGTGAATATATATATTTATATATATAGATATATTTATAAATATATATATTTATATATATATGTGAGTGTGTATGTAAATATATATATACATGTGTTTATGTATAATATGTACACAAATGCAGAAAAACTATACAAGAGAGAAATACCTCTCTTATTTACATTTCAAATAAACTGAGGAAAAATTATCACTGAAAACATGTGCTATGCTTCTACTTCATGACTCTTCTATGATATATTTCATCATAGAATGATACTATTTATATGATGCTTCCACTGGCAAAGCAATAAATAGTCACATAGCTATATACTATTTACAAAATAAATCAGTGACTTCTACACTACTGCCAGTGGAATTCTTTCAATGTTGGAAAAGTACTGTTCTTTTGCCATGGTCTTCTCAATGATTTTTAACAATTTTAATAAATAGTTTTTGATTAGCTTATTAGTATGAAGCTTTTGAAAAATAAAGAAAATGGCGAAAGAACAGTTATTTGCCAATAAATCTAATATACTACAGGGATATCTTTGTCAATGGCTAGCAACAGGACTTTGCTCAACACACACACCAACCATTGGTGATTCTTCCCTTTCAGATGATTGTTTTTGAGATGAAATTTCTGTGGAAGGCTGTGTGGTGGGGGACTGATGTAAACCCAATTGAGAAAAGTTTGTGCCTAGGTATGAAGGAACTGTTGTTTGCACACTATACACTGCTCCAGTGTAGAGTACTGGTTGATAGCCCCCCAGTTGTACATTCAAAGATGTAGGTGCACAATCTATTGAAGTAAAGAGGCTATTGCTAGCGTCCATCGGCATTAGTTGGGAAGACACAGTTGTTGAGGAAGAGCATGCTTGGCTTCGACTGTTGTTGACAGCACTAAAAGTTGATGGTGGCTGGAAAGACTGGAGGGGATCAAAACCAACTGCACCCATTACATGTGATGCACTTGACTGTGTTGGATGAAGGTGTCTTCGATAGGAATGGTTATGGCTATGAAGATGAGAATATCCTGCACGACTAGCAGGAGCACTAGAGTGAGTATGTTGACCAACTGTAACTGTTCCACTTGCAATACTAGGAGTAACAGTTACAGGAGCACTCGCTACCCCAATAGAATTCCATGCATGCAGTTTTTGAGAGGAACGAAATATACCTGTGCCAGCTATACTAGTTATTGGGCTCTCACATTCCATAGCTGACAAAGATGCAGTAGTTATAAGAGCTGTTCCATATTGTAAATTACATGATCCAGTTTGAGTATAACTATGCTGCAATTGTCCATAAGGGTGCTGATGTGTTGGATCAGAACGTGCCCTTCCAGTTGCTTGAGGAGGTGCTGAAGAGGCTGCAAAATACATTAAAGTATCAATAATCACCACAATCTAACAAAATTAAACAAAAAGAGATTAATGCTATAAATACTATGAGTTTGTAAACAAAATAGTTTTATAATAACAAGACTGCTGATTACTATGCTTCTTGCAAAATATTTTATAGAGTGGTAGACAATTAAAAACTAAAGCTTTCTAAGCTTGTGCTAATTTTGCAAAATTTTAAAAGCCTCAACACAATAAAGCAGGAACAAAGGGGCACTTTATATGAACTATAGAATCATTTACATTATCATAGAAAATAACTTTAAACCAAATTTACAAAACAAAAAATCAAACATTAAATAAACTTAGCTACTACTGATAGAGATTTTCCCATAAAGCATAGAAAGTTGGCAGCTCTGTAAATACTAATTTATCCAGATAAACTGACAATTGATATTTAATCTACTCTACAGTATCTTTGCAAGCATGTAAAATGCAAGCTTGCCAACAATCAGAGTTATAGAGAGCATCCCTCAAAGATTGCTTGGGATTTTTTTCTGATTAAGTTATATCATTACAATTAGCATTTTCAGAAAAGTAATTTAGTGTTATATATTACTTGCTTATATAATTTTCAAGAATTTCTTTGTTTTTAGAATTTTTATCATTATTCAAATCAGTTTCATCAGTTTAAATAAAAATAAACTTTCAAAATGAGATACAAAATGAGATACAGATTTAAATTTCCTATTGATAATATCTAATTACATATTTTAATTGTTCTAAATTTTTGAGACAAAACTCACTGAATTTCTAAAAGTGATTTAGTGGTTATAAAAGGTGAGTTATACAAGCTTTACTTAAATAAGATTAGGAAAAATAACTTCTCTTATTCTCATAAAACAAATATTTTATTCGTCACTAATTTTTAAAGGTATTGTGATGCTGCATAATATTTTATCATAAAATTTTAATTAGCTTAAAAAACATCATAAGAATGCAAAATCAAAAATATAACCAAAAACCAAAGTTGGTCAAAAAGAACAAACTTGAATTCCATCAATATGAATCATAAAATGAGATTTGTAAATTGTTTGATTATTAATCAAGAAGGATTTGATTTTCAACTTTAATTTTCTAACACACTGGTTTAATGGGTACAATAATTGGGGTTTCATTGTAATGTTAAATCTAATTCATAATACATTAAGGCTCTCATGACAAAACTTTTGTTTATTTACACACACACACACACACACACNTAAATATATATATATATATATATATTCAAATACCTTTGATAAAGTTAAAATTTTGTGGAGTACTAAAAATCAATTGTAATTATTAAAAAATTTTACTAACTATTCATTTTTACATTAAAAATTTACATTACAAAAAAATATAACTTACAAGAGCTACCAGAGCTAGACCCAGATGGGCCAGTATTTGAAACAGAGCCTTGTTCCATTGCTGGACTTGTGCTGGCACTGTGAGTAGTATTTGTACTTTCATCAGTTGTACGTTTAAAAAAGCTGTGCTGTAAGGCATGATATGGACTAATTCTTGTTTTAGCATCATAATCCAACATTCGAATGATGAGATCTTTGAATTTAAGATAATCAGAGACGGAATGACCTGTTTCTCCGAGTCGTCTTCCCCCAGGTCCACCGGTTTCAACTCCAAGGATATCATGGAGCTTTCTAGAGCCTGGTGGTTTATACTGAAAATAGAAATATATATATATATATATAAAGCAGTCTGGAATTTTAAAAATGTTAATTTTAAGTTCATAAATAATGTTATTCGATAGTTTGAAACAAAATAATTATTTCCAAACAAACTTAAAAATATGGGAAAGTTACAAATAGGATATAAGTACAAGGAATTTCATGTGTGGTAATAACATTGAATAAAATATATCAGACATTTAAGAACTACATGCAAATTAATGGCCATACTGAAAAATAGATTGCAAAATGGTGGAATCGTCACATCAAAATTCAATGATCAAATATGTAATTAAAGTTTTTAGTGCCGTAATAACAGTAAAAAATTTATCAAAACTCTGTATGGATTTGCAATAGAAACATAGCAAATAGAGGGCAGCGAGAAGTGAATTTGAAAAGAGCATTAATTTCTATATCGTAATGTTATTTTTAAATGTAAAAAACAATCTACAAGCCAATATTGGGGTCTCTGTGTTTTGCAATATTGGCCCTAGAATAGCTTTCAATAATGAGTCAATATTATTTTCTATGTTGGAGACTTACAGACTTAAAACGTTGGGTAAACATTATGATGGCCAGATTTTTTAATATTGGTCCTAGAATGGTATTCAATAATGGACCGATATCATTTTCTCTGCAGTTTCTTCATGGATTTATAATGTTGGTTAAACATTGGGATGTCTAAATGTTTTAATATTGGTCCTAGATAGAAATGAATCTTGCTCCAATATTGAAAGTCATTCTAGGATCAATATTAAAAAATCTAGACATCCCAATATAGGTCCCTCGGTGCATGTTTTTATGGGACCCATTTTCGTCAATTTTGCGACAAATGTCAATTTTGTACCTTTCTGTGACAAAAACAGATATGTGAACTATGCAAAATTAACAAAGACAACAGGCCTTCCTTGCACCTCCATTACATAAAAGAAAGTGATTCGTCGGGAACAGGTGTGAGCAAAGGAATGTGAACCTTTAGATGAACAATGAAGCTGGTAAGAATGAGGGGAATCACTTTGACATTGTGTCCACTGTAAATGAAAATCGGAAAGCCTGATCATGCATGCATTGCACTGCTGTCCCCACCCCTTCAGTGACTGATGTGAAAGATACATCAAAACATTTAGCAGCATTTCGTTGGAAATTTTCTTAGTGTGAAGGTTCATTTTGATTTTAATCTTAAATATCATAGAAATTTTTTTTGTTGTTGAAAATGTCCTGTAAAGGCATTAAATACTATATATTGAGGACAAAGTAAAAATTTTAAAGCTGTTGACTGCTATTCTCAATTAACAAAAATTTTAAGTCTCCCTGTTGCTGCGATAAATTGCATTATTTCCAAGAATGATATTTTAAACTCTTCATGTTCCGCTTTGTCCTCGAAAATAAAAATAGTAAAAAGAGGAAAATACAAAGATGTTGAAGAAAAACTTATTATATGGTTTAAACAAGCAAGATCTTTGAAAATTCCTGTTAACGGAACTCTACTTGGAGGGAAAGCTTTAGAGATTGTGGAGAAATTGAACATTGATTTCACGCCTTTAAATGGATGGATTGATTGGATGAAAAAGTTAGCTGGATTAGTTTATAAAACAATTAAAGGAGATTATAACAGCGTTGATTCACAAGAAGCTGAAAAATGGAAAGCTAAATTACCTGAACTTATTTCAGGTTATCAACCAAATGACATTTTTAACATGGAGGAATGTGGACTGTTTTTCAATCTTTTACCCGATAAAACTTATGCATTTAAAGGTAAACGCTGTCATTGAAGAAAAAACAGTAAAAAACATTTCACACTTTTAGTTATAGATAAAATGAATGGTACAGAAAAATTACTAATTTTAGCTATCAATAAAGCAAAAAATTTGTGTATTTTTAACCATTAACCGTTAGAATTTTGTTTACGTTTAATAAGTCATTTTTTTCCATTCCCTTGAAAAACTTCAAGCAGGTTCCACTGTATATATTTAATTGTGCAATATGTAAATTTTACTTGTTCACTTAGGATTTTTTTTTGTTCCTCTTGAAATACTGCAATGTCCTAGATTTTATTACTAACAGATCATACACACTCCTCTTTTTTATTTTTACTCAACAGTTAAACATCTTTAGTGAAGCCAAAATTCCCGAGATTTTTTTACCAATTAGTGTCTTCACCGACACTCTCTGAGTTTCCCGAAAACACCTGTCTCTTTCTTCTGTTGCAAAAACGAAACAAAAAATATTATAAATAAAAGTTAAGGTTTGGTCACCAAATTTACATTTTCCAGCTCTGAATGCTACCTCTCTCTAGTATAAAACAGAATAAGATTTTCTATTTTAAAAATCTTTTGGTGATTTAAACATGCCAGATCTGGATTTTTTTATCAAAAACAAAGCTGCATTTTTTGCCCCACTAATCCCTGTCAGAAGTTTCTTCACAGCAAATTTGCTCTTTTACCTCAAAAGAGGAAATGTAAAACTGTCTTCTTCTCTTTATCTTTATGCTGCGGCAATTATGTTACGAATTTTCACTCACGGAACAGTAATTTTCCTTGTTTAATTCTGTATTCAAGCTTTTTGTTAATTTTCCGATGGTTGTTCTGAGGGCCTTGAGTGAGGACTTCTCACTTTTTCACTATTGGGTGATGTTTTAGTGACATTACTAAGTGTATGTTGCTATCAGCTGAATAATTCGGCTAACATTTAAAGCATTGCACAACATAAAAGGATCATTAATGATACATTAAGAATAAAGTTAGAGATTATCCTTGAAAAGCAAAAGTCCTTTCTTGGTTAGTGAAATGTAAAATTTGTCGTGAATATGTGATTAACATTTTAGTTCCAAATTTGTAATTGTGTTCATATAATAAGATGTTTTAATAAAAATTGATGTTTGAATGAGGAATTTGCCTTTATTACTGACACTCATGTCACCACTATGAATTTGTCAACTGGTTGCCATGAGCAGTGAAATGGCAGAATAATATCAATGGTTGAGAAGGAGGATCAGTTTTATCTAACGTTTAAGAAACATAAAACTACCACCTCCAACTAATAACATAAAACTACCTCCCAATTTACAAGAATGAATGTTTCATTTAATTTCAATTCCACTACGACTGCAATTCACTTGCTCAAAATTTTGATTTAATTTTTTCCCTTCTTTTCCGATCCAATAGGGATCTCTGTAAAACTTTGTTTGCACCCTTATTAAATTGTTTCCCCTCAACGCTTTTTTTTTGAGAAATTTTATTTCTCCTAACTAAATATAGCTGAGGGTCAGGGTTGGGGTTTTGGACGTCCTAAACTGGTTTTCGACAGGACACGTGGGTTTTACTGTCTTAAACTGGGTAAAACTGTCCTAAACTGGGTAAAACTGTCCTAAACTGTCTTAAAGTGTCCAAAACCTTGAACTTTTGTAAAAGGTAAAAATTCTACAGGCGTAACCATTGTACACACCTATAGAATTTTTACCATTACATGTAATTACATGTATCAATAAATACTTGATATTTTTTATACAATTTACTATAACTTAGTAAAAGAAAATAATATAATATAATAGGAAAAGGTTTATAACTTTTGAAGCTTCACAATTCATTGAGCAACAAAAGTGAATACCTAATCCTTTAAATATAAATATGCTTTTAATACTGATAAATAATATTTTTGCTTAAGGATAAATATGGCAATATTAAAAAATAATAATTTTTCTTAAAAAAAATACTAAATTTGTTCAAAAATTAACCTTTTATTTTTCACAATATTTTTTTTTAAAAATTTTATAATTTCTGCATTACAGGATGATAAAAAAGACATCTATTTTTAAAAAAAATTGTTTTTAAATATAAATATATTAGTTTAAATTGAAAATACAAAATAACTGAAATGTATTAACAGTTTTGAAGGGCATAACATCAGTTTCAGTTACTGACACTGGTAATGTACCACCACTATGCTAAAAGAATTGTACATTAATGAAATAACAGTATTCTTGAATAGTACTATAGGTAAATAACCCTGCTTATGACTAACCAAGCACTTAGTCTCTAATAGCTTAACCTGTATGGCAAGGTCCAACTTCAGTTATGTACTATTGAATGCTAGGACCAATTGAACTAGATTACTGATTAATCTTCCTTTGTTTAATGTTTAAATTGAAGAGCCGAACAATATTAATAACATACTTTTAAAAACAAATATTCTGTAGTAGATTTAATTATCAATATGTTATTAGTTCTATGTTTATTTTACCTCTTAAATATTGTTCAGATAAAATTGTGACATAATTTGAGTAAAAGGGTTTTGGACAGTTTAAGACAG